AGATTGGTAAATCTGGTTAAATAGTAAACTGTAACTGAACTCACACTGGCTTGCAGCCTCTTTTTTTGGGGGATGATGAAAGCCTGACGAAACCATTGCGTGTATTCATTGCAAAAGCAACAGAACTCTATATTAGACACACATTCTCCCTGTGTGTGTTGAAAATGTTTAGGTTTGTCAAATAGCATCCATTCACGGGGAACCCTTGGTGATCCAGAACAGTAAGAGATGGTAAACTGATAGTCAGAGCTCCAGGGGAGGATGTGTGTGTGTGTGTGTGTGTGTGTGTGTGTGTGTGTGTAGGTTTGGTGGGTGCAAATTGTAGGTAACTACTCCTTTAGGTTGTTGATAGATGGGACCTACTGGGAAGTGTGTGTGAGTTTGTCCATGCTGCCGGCAGCCAGCTACCGCTCCAGGCCAATGATAGATGACTTTGTCTCTGAAGAGAGCCTTTGCTGTGAGCTGCCCCTGGAGCAGTCACTCAGTCAGGGGGAAGGGGACAAAGCTGAAATACCTTTAGTGCAATTCTCTGGAGATAAACTCATAAAATCTCTGAAGGGAGGGGGGATAGGAATCATGGATAGTTGAGATAAGGCCAATTTAACCTGCCTCAGAGTATGTTAGATTGTTATTCCGATAGTTTAAACTTTGTCTCTGAATTGTTTATATATATATGAAGCAGATTTAAATGCTAAACTGTTTTCTGCTCTTTGACCTCGGTCAGAGGGAGGAAGGTTGGTTTACTGAAATACTATCGTAAAGAGGGTGGAGGAGTGAAGGGAGGGATGCAGGGGAGGCAGACTGTCTGTCTGTATTTGTAATAAGAGGGAATGTGGTGGGAGACAGTTACAGACTGTCACCAGACTTGTGCTGTGTCTGCTCATCTCTCTGAGCCTAATGAATGGGTTAAAACACTTGAACTTTATTTTTAACTTTGTCCCTTCATATCTCGAGTAAACTCAGGTGTGTTTCTGCTTCTGTTGAGGCGAATGTGTCATCGTGCATTCTGCTGCTCTGCCTGCGTGCACGTAGCCATCCACATGTCGATACTCATCTCCTGTCATGACGGGCTAACTGACTACTAATGTTTTTCTGTAAACATCACTCAGCTCTTTGGGGACATGGGATCAGTGTGTACTCGGTGCTAACTAACACAGCAGCAAGCAGCAGCAGTGACACATGTTCATCCATATTTATGCATGTTCTCAGCAGATCCCCCTTATTGCGTTTTCCATCACCGTATACATATAATATATCCTCGCACACAAAAGCTGTCTTTTTCTTGCCATCTTTCTCATTCCCAGGCATCACAGTCTTTCCTCTGATTTCCCTGTTGTACACCGGTGTGTAGCCAATCAATATATAATCACAGGTTTTGAGGCTTATATTTATTACTGCTCCAGTGCTATAACCACAGTTGTCAGTCTCCTGCCACTTGCATAACCATCCTCCTCTCCCTCCCCCCTGCAGGTTTCTCTGGGATAACTATGCTGTGGAGGTGAAGCTCAATGACTACCTGGACATTGTCTGCCCCCATTACCCTCAGGGTGAGATACCACAGCTGGATGCTGAGCGATACGTGCTCTACATGGTGGAGCGTGAGGACTATGAATCCTGCAAGCCTCAGTCATACGACCAGATGCGTTGGGAGTGTGGTCATCCATTTGCTCCTCATGCCCCCGAGAAGTTCTCTGAAAAGTTCCAGCGTTTTACTCCTTTTACTCTGGGAAAGGAGTTTCGTCAAGGAGAAAGCTACTATTATATCTGTAAGTGTCACTACAGTTGTCTGTCAGATTTATCGCTGTTCTTGCCAATTAATCTTATTTTCCGGTATTTGCAGTGTGCTTGCCGACCTGTGAGAGTGTACTAAGGCACTGCCATGCTTAGAGCCAAATACTATCATCAGCATGCTTACAGTAATCACGTTAACATGCTGCAAGTTCAAATTTTGACCTGATGATGGCTAAATGTAAAATTAATTAAAAACGAAAATTATTACAATTTATCCTGAAGGGGACATGTCTGTGTCTGTATCCAATTTCATGGCAATCCATCATATAGTTACAGAGACATTTCACACAAAAGCTCAAATGTCAGCCTCATGATGGTGCTAGAGGAAAACCGCTAAAGACATTATGATTCATCATCTGGGAACATTAATGGCATTCCATTCAGTAATTGTTGACATATTTCAGTCTGGCTCAAATTGATGAACTTGCTATCATCACCCACCCTTAAAATCTCTGCCTTCATATAGAAGTGTTACTAGGCCTAAGTTCTTTTGTTTTCATATCTTTGTAAACTAGCTGTGATGTCCTGGAGTTTTGTGCCAGCTCTTTGAAGCATTACATGGACATAAACTGGGGTATTGGCTCTGTTTATGCAATATTTACCCTGCGAAAGTGTGACCATGAAGACAAGCAATGTTGTCACCCAGACTGTGGCTATAATTAGATAAACGGCAGGACAAGACACACTTTGCCTGGTCACAGATGGCTTCCTAAAGCTTTGTCCCTGCGTCTGTCTGTTGCAAAGTGTTTGTGTGTGTATGTGTATGCGCACATGCATGAAGGTGGATTAAGGGGTCAGAGGAGGATAAATGTATTAGCTGGGATGTTAATGGCCTGTTGTTTCTTCCCTCTTCCCTGAAGCTAAGCCTTTGCATCACCATGGACAAGAGTGCCTCAGACTCAGGGTGGATGTTGTAGCTGCTGATGGTGAGTTCAGCCACCCTTCTGGCTGCAAGGGGAGCTGCACAGTCACCCCTAATAGTCACCAAGCATTGTAAATGATGGCATTTTTCTTTTCTTTCAGGCTCTCAGGAGGCCAGAGTGGCTAAGGGAGGCACAGTCGGGGCTGGAGCTGGAGCTGGGGGTGGGGTTCACAACCCGTCCAACAGACTACCTGCGGGTATGTGGACCAACCCTGTGTCCTTAAAGATTATGCCATAAAACAATCCAAGTACATTCCGCACCATGTCAGGGTTTTAATGTTCTTTATCTCTCATCTTCAAGCAGATGACCCAGTGGTAATCCTGCCAGACGTCCAGAAGAGTGTACGGACAAACTCTGCAGCGGCAGCGACATCCCTCTCAATCCTCTCATTGCTAGTCCCATTTTCATTACTGCTGTTATTGCACTGAGAGAACATGAAAGGACTGCTGTTGGCAGACATGTTTTTTTCAGGGACTACAATGAAGACAGTCTGTGGGGATGAAACCACTGACTCTAAAAGACAGTTTTCAGTGCCCAGTGCTGGCCACTGGGAGGGACTTTTGAAGCTTGTAAAGTACAGATGGACTTGCTTGTACAACATGTACTGAGTCTCCAGATATTTAAGATAAAGTATGTGTGCTTTGCCTTATTTTTCAACAGGTGACAGTGTTGTTGTTTTTTTATACATTTCTTTTTTTTCTAGGAAAGACTAACCTCACCTTGATTTGTATTGTCTGGGGGCTCTCTCCAAAAACTTCTTTGGATGGTAACCCCAAAACAAAGTATGAAGATGTTGAAGGGGAAACTAAAGTGGCCAAAATAAAATCAAGAGCAAATACACCAACTCAGTTTGAATTATATAAATATAAGTTTAGATGGAATACATCCACATTTAATAAAAAGTAATCATAACCTTTTGAGCCAAAGAGGAGTCATCTCACCAACTTGTACACTATTCCACCCTTGAGTATTGTATACTATTTGTTGTATTGCTAGCGTAATGGTATTGAGTGGCATTGATGTCCCAAGTGGTTACGTTCTTTATGTAGCATTAACGGGGGGCTGTTCTCATGACTACCACTCCCAACTCGACCATGTGCTTATATACTGTAGCACTAATATGGCACAGTACAAACACAGTAACATACACTCAACATCACTGTTACGCACACTGACATCAGATGTTCTCTAACACATGAAAACACTACATTGAATGGTGTTACTTGTACATTCTGTGAAGATAATTTATAACATTTGCAGCTGAGGTTTACTGTATATACCATGTACTCATGAAAGGAAATGTTTACTCTTTGCGGTGAGGGGAGCTTTTTCTCTTTCTCTCTCCTGGTAGAGTTAGTTTGTGTGAAAGGAAAAATGTGTGTGTTGAAGTGAGAGTAGGAGAATGTGCACAAGCAATTGATTGAAAGAGTGATGATACAAAATGTTTTTCTGCCAAAAGCAAACACTGAGAGGTTGTGTGCATCGCAGGGAGGCTGGACTTCTCTGTTTGTTGGATCTTGCCCCTGTATTGGTTTAAACAGTCTGGCATGAAGAGCTGGTATTAAATCTTAACTGCAGGACCTAGGCCTGTGTATCATGGTGCTTTCATTTACATCGCCATCCCCGGTTATTAAACAAGCATATTTTTCACACAGTAAAGTAATCGGTTTTCATACTTTTTGAATAATCATCACAGTTTTGGATCATGTGAAAATGATGTGGTTGCCAGTTCACAACAGACATGACACAGCATCAAATCAAGTTGCCAAGCACATCCTCACCTGACAGACTAGCTTGATAACAAAGCACAACAGTATATACCTACCACTGAATTCAGTCCTTTTTATCTGAAGTCTTACAAATTTTGTACATGTGTAAGTAAGAGAAGTGTATAATATGTGTACAAATATAAATATGTATATATTTAGAAGATTATAAGATGTTTGATAAATATGCTAAATGTGAAAATTTCATGTGAAATAAAATAATATTTTTGGAAAACCAGAACAGAATTCTTGTGATTGTTTTAGCCGTTCTAGCATGGTTAGGCATGGGTCATGGTAATGTTGCAAAGTCAGTCGGTCTACCACAAGACTGAAATATCCTAACAAACTGTTGAAGTGGATGAATCCTGATGACTTTGGTGATCCTCTGAGTTACCCTGTAGTGCTATGGTGTCAACAGTCGTGGTTTTAAATAAAATGTCTCAACTATTACATGTCAGATTGCCATAATATGCTTGCAATAGGTGCCCTTCAGGATGAATTGTAATGACTTTGTTCTTGATCCTTTAACGTTTCATCTAGTGTAGGTCTATGATCAGATTGTTAACTTGTTCCGTACTTGTATGTGCAAAGTGAATGACATTCCCTTTGCATTTTTTATTAACTGGCAAATATTAGCAAGCTAACACACTGAACTATAATGGTGAACATTACAGTATAGCTGCCAAATATCTTTGCATTATTATTTTGTGTTGCCATGCCATTTAGCATTATTTCAAAACAAGGGCGGGCCAAAGTTAGTAGTCAGTAGTCCAGTAATTAGTGTAATCGAGGCACAAAGACAGACTTTACCGACTCCAGCAGTCACATAAAAAGGTGCAGCCCAAAGTTAGGCAACTCTGACCTTTCATATCATCAAAATACCTACAATAAGGTAGCATTGTTTATTTTTCCTTACAATTTCCTTCCATGTGTTCAAACAACAAAAATCTCCCAGATTGAATATAGAGTTTTTGGGAGGGCTAAATCAGTTCTGTGAGTTTCCCAGGTTAATCCTTGAGGGTTGGCAACCATAGCCAAAGTACGGGATCACATTGCTGCTAGCCTGACTGTAGACTCTTAGTCTTGCTTACACATGACTGGATAAATGTTCTGTTACCTTCCCTAAAAAAGAACAGCAATCCAGTTTCCCAGCACTAAATGAAACATAACATTTTTCCCGTAGGCAACTTATTTTGGTGCAAAAAAAAAAAAGTTTTTAGAAAACCCAGCCCATTTCTCCTTTTGATTACACCAGAAATATCTTAGCAGAAGAAGCCAACATCACAAGCAGTGGCTCACACATACTAATCTGACAGGAGTTCAATAGAGTCCAGGTCAAACAGCCAGGCACAGGAAAAGGCTACAATGAAAAGATAAAGGGAAAGCAAGGACAGGGCTATCTATTGTTATTACTCTTGGGGTTGCCTTTTAACATGAAGACTAAATAGCCTACACAGGTATGATGCCTCTACTGTCTTTATCTCAACATTCTGCTGAGACTCCACCCTGAGCTGCAACAGCCCCCTTCCAACATACACACACACACACACCTCCTCCTTTCTCCAACCATGATACTTTGCTCATCTGCAAGTTGCACGACAGTCCATTGTTCCCATCTCTCCTTTCTCAAGGGAGCTTTATGGCCGTGACAGTAAAAACAGCTGTAGCACCAAAAATCGGTGCCACAGCCTCACGACTCCCCAGTGATTTCAAAGGGATGGCCATAAATTAGAACTGGCAGAGAGGCCTCTTAACTGCCTAACTCCTAAAAAAGGCTCCACTAAGTGGCAGCTTATCAAGAGGAGACAATGGTTTTTATTTACTTGCTTGTTCAGTGTACCAACTTGGTAAATATGAACGGAAAGTGTGAGACCTTTAACACTGCAGTAAAAGTTAAAGGCAGTTGGGAGATAACTAGCGCAAACACTCAGCACAGAAAACTAGAATTTCCTGAGGGCAATGTCTTTGTAGGCTTGGGAGAGGACAAAAAGATATTTGTATATTTCATAGATAGCAGCAAAAACAGCATTAATCAAAATCTGCATGTTAAGATAATTGTTTAAGTTAGGCAATGCTGTGAGCACAGCATTTTAGTGTGTATGAAATCAAGCCTCAGTTTGTGCCTCTCACAGCATTTGAACAGAAACACAGTATTTACAGCTACCATCTTTGTTTCGATAGAGAAACCCATAGCAGAACTTGTGAAATGGGTTAAAACCCTCTTTATTGTGCAACAGATGGAATGTTGTTTCATCCAGATGGTTAGAAGAGTCTTTCAGGATTGCTGAAATACCTTCAGAACTGTAGTAACATTCTTAAAGGACCCTTTGGATTTTTCAAAGATCACAGTGGTTTTTTTTCTGAAAAACAAAGGCTTAGATCTGTGAATCAAAGATAATGGTAATATATGACACAAACTTGTTACATTAAATCAAATATTTCTCGGCAAGCATTTATCAGTTTGCCAGTTGTCAGCGTTTAATAGAGAAAGAGCTGAGCCAAGAGTGCGTGACGCTTAAAACTGGAAGAAGGCCATGAGACGCAGTGAGAATGATTCACAAGTCAAAGTAGGTTTGGCATGGCCACCTGGTCTATCTCTGCATCTCTGAGCTGTGTCAGGCCTCACTGACAGCAGGACACATGACGACCAGTCCCTGTCTGCCTGCTAGCATTACTCAGAGGAGACCAGAGTATCTGCCTTACAGAACCTCTGGAAACTTACCTTATTTTTATTATTTTGTAGCATTTATAAGCTTTCATGATGGGAACCCACTGTCCTGTAAGTATCAAAACAGCCACTTATAGGCTGACCTATGAGTGATTTTTAAGCTCACATTATTGTTATAAAATGTCATTTTTATGCAGCAGGGTGTTTGAAAGATTCTTTATCTTTTTTCTATGGTAATGCCTGCAAGAGGTGATTTAGATGACAGCAGGGTCAGGAAACATCAAGCCTGGAGTCGCTGGGTCAGTAAGGGCGCATTCTGATCTCCAGCCGTCACCGGTGGTTGGGTTGGGGTTTCCTCTTCCCGAACAAGTCCTGTCACAAACTCATGGCCATCGCCACTGGGAGGGTCATCTGTCTTGCTCCAGCTCAGGCTTTGGCTTCCTGTCCATGTCATCTACTCACTCCTGGTTTTATCTGTTTTCATTTTCCAACTCTTTTTGTTCTGTCTTTTTAATTGATTCACTTTCTGTCATATGTCTCCTGTTTTGATTCACCCTCATGTCACTCTAATCTCATCATTACTGTTGTTCACCCCTTTCTCTATCTATATTAAATGCATCAGGTCGCCATCCCTTTCAGTTCTGGCCCTTGATTACTAACTTCATCTCACTGTCTGTTCATCTCTAGATGGGCTTTAGGTTTTTCTGTGAAATGTGTGGGTGGGAACAAACGTCTTTTCTGTGCAGAAAAATGATAACCTATTATTTTTCAGTCTTGGTTTTCAGTTTGTCGAGATGAATTTGCTCTCAGCAGTGTCACTGAGTGTCTCTATGTTTTTGTGTTTGTTTGTTTGTTTGTTTTTTTAAGTGCTTGGCCCTGTCAGCTGGGCCACACTGCAGGCACAACCCCATGGTCTGCCCCACTCACTGCCTCAACCCCCTTCAAGTTTCCTCTCCCAATTTTGCTGACACCTCTCACCTTTCCACTACAGAGAAGGTCAAGAACATTCTGTACATGTTTGGCATTGGCCTCCCTCACTGTAACAATCCTAACTGGCTGAATACAGAGCGATTAATAAATGCTGTTAAGTCTTCACTAGGTCTTCACCAACAAGAATACATGCACAAAAACTGGAGGATTCTGATGTTACGGCATATTACACTGACACTTAAACGAAAATATAAATTATAAATAAAATATAAATAAAGTAATAAATAATTTGGGTAATTCATTGTAGAGCAGCTTCTTTTTTTCCAGTTCAGAAATATCTGAATTTCTACTTTGGTTTTACATTAAACACAAATCCACTTAGTAAACCTTTTGGTGAGATTGTCAGAAATGCATAAATTCAATTATATGTTTATTATTGAGGTTACATTTAAAGGTGGTGTTGCACTGGATGTATTTACAGGTGTCTCTATATTTTTGTCCTCTCCAGCTACATACATGACAGTGTCAGAATATTAGGAACGTTTGATTGCCACAGCTATATAAGAAAAGCTCATTATCACCAGGAAAAAAAATACATTCATAGTTATACTCAAAAATACTAAGAGTAAGGCAAAGTCTTGACTTACTAAGGCCAGACCAACTTTGATTGAGGGTAACGTGACAGCACAGTGATTATGCCAAACAGACAGCAAAATTTGGAAGTATTTTATTTTTAAAAATTTCAGTTTGCATAGCTTTTGATCTTTTTTTCCTGCAAGAAAACTTATTCCAAGAAAGAATATTCTAGAAGACGAATAAAGGGCCTGGACTGTCACATAACTTCCAACCAGCAACAGAGGATAATCAGCTCTCGATTTAGCTGTATTCCTTCCTATCTTCTGGCAGCTGAAGTGCTCAGGTAACAATTCTAAGGGCTGTTACTGCAGTGCTGCTAAAATACTGCATCCTATTAACACCTCTCAAAGTTGACAACACTCCGTCTTTAAGAAGTCTATTGAAATACAAAGCAAGTTCTCTGCAGTTTTCTCACCAGGGAAGCAAACCTCTCACCTTTAAGTCACAAGATTATGCTGGTAGAGATATAAAATTACTATTCAGTCATTATTATGGATTTTGCTCAGGGCTTCAACTAACTGTACTCTTTCAGGTGCATCCTCTTTAATGAATGCTGCCATTCACCAAGCAGTTATGTTGCATGTCACATAAGTAAGATTCATAGAGATTTTAAAAGAAAAAACGCTTTAGCATATGAGGTTATATATGGTGGGACCGTTTAGTTTACATACACATCTCTGCATATCAGATTACAGTTATGTTTACTTGCTATTATGTAAATACCAAGTTCTAAGTCTAGAACAAAGCTTACTGTGCTGTAAATTTGAAGTGAGGGATTAAGGCAACAAAAATATTTCACGGTACTGTATGTGGCCTTTAAAACATTTGGCCTGCAGAGGAAGAATGAACAGATGGACATCTTCAAAGTAAGATTTGGGGAAAATGATGACAAGGAGTAGTGATAGACTAGCCTATTTCACACGTGGCTATGAGAAAGAACATAACTGCATACAGAGGGAAGCCTTTGGTGTAATTGCCAAAGTAAAAGAATTACTGATAAATAACAGGTTGCCTTTCATCCAGTCTGCTCTAGCAACAGCTTGCATACATTCATGGGGGGTGATGTTGCATGATATGATGGGGCTACAGCCAAATTGCACAACAGGCAGAGCTTGTGCACAGAGAACTGCCAACTCTTTTGCATTTGTTCTGAAGTAATGGGAGCTTTTGAAACCCTATAATGATGCCTTTGGTCAGGCTGTGCTTTGTTTAGGCACAGCAGGGATTCAGTTAAAATGAGCATAGGCAGCCTTTTAAGGCTGAAGGAACTGCATTTGCCAGCATCAGATTACTTAAGAACTACATACTTAGCTTACATTTTCTGATTGGAACAAACCTCTGTGAAGGCAGAAAAGGAAATGCTGTATAATGTATATTTCATGTTAACTACTAAATAGGACAAAAGACATCTGCTCTTGCACAGAGGGAGGCATTGAGCCTTTAGGCCATGTGGGTTATGCTTGGAGAAGGAATGCATTGTATATGCAAGCACTCATGCACATACTCGCATACCTCCTGGCCTTATCCGAACCCCCAACCCACAAACATACATGCACATTTGTAGGCAGAAAACCTGAAGACAACAGACTCCGTTTTAATTAAGTCCCAGCCATAGCTGCAGGGCACATGTATGAAATCGGACAATGGAATGTACAGATAAAATCTAGTCCATCTATACTGACAAGCAACAGTCTGCACACTGTCATACTGTTGTGGAGCTGATGCAGATTGAAAGCATCTAAGAATGTCCAGTGGAAAATCTTTAGTCAGACTACTCCAATGTGACATTTGGATTTCATTTGTTGGCCTTTTAGTGATCGGCAACTGGCTACAGATGATAATTTGTCATACCAGTAATATGAACTCAGGGGTATTGAACGGTGTGTAGTTTCTAACTAAAGCCAGCACACGTTCACTGTTCAGCTTCCCTTTATCTGATGTCAAATGTGCTATCAGTACAACCACCTGCTACACACCAACTTGAACACAAACTGATTAATACAACCCAGTTTATAATGGTCTTTAAATTGTGAGAATGATGAACATTTTTTAACAAAGATCAAATTGCTCGGTCATACACACAGATAACCTAGAAATGCATCTATTAGACTTTTAATTCTCTGAGGCATATCTTACCAATATCTAACTTAAAATATATGACAGATAATCAGACAGAAAAATATAAATGGTGCTCTAAAATGTTATGACAGATGTTGAGATGGCTACTGAAAACACCAAGATGGGTGTGGAATCAGAGTTCAGTGACATTTCCCAGAGGAAACAACTCCAACCTCACACGTGCAGACACTGCACTGTGACAGATAGTGGACCCTGAATCTTTTTCAGTCTCTCAAAACGTTTTACATAGTCCTTCTACAAGTTCTACATTTTTAAGCCTTTTTTTCTTAAGTCCTCTTTTGCTTCTTTAATCTGCTCCTGCAACTCTTTTGCTGCCTCTTCGCAGTCATTGAAGGTGGCCACCCTGAATCCCACGGTGGCTAAGGAGTAGCAGCCAAACGAAACAAGCAGATACAGAGGCATCGGCCAGGCAACCTCTCTGTATGTCTGCGGCAGGCTCAGGTCCAGCAGGTCGAAGGTAACTAAAGCCCAGACTGCGCCTAGAGTCGACACGCCGCACAGCCATTCCAGAAGCTTCGTCATGATGAGAGTAGCTGCTGGGATTTCAGGTGAGCAGCCGGAAAATAACCTGAAAACGACATGGACGTTTAAACAGTTATTCGTTCAATTAGCTTATCTTTTTTGTACAGGAAAGTAGCACCGTGTAGGCTTGCTAGCTACATCACGGGAACAAACAGCATGTCCGCAATAGGAATACAACGAACATAAAAACACAGCGGGTTTTATGACAACAATCATCCGTTTAAAACGGATTTCGTTCAGTAATAAGATTAGGAAGAAATAGCATTAATCCAATAGGTTTACCTGATTTGGAAAGCCACCTCAACTCTGCGCAGAATTATGACGTAAGATGACGCCTTCTGGGAAATGTAGTTACCGTGATGTTTCTCTAGAAATGAGAACTTAGCTGAATTTCTTGTGTAGTTTTGTAAAATTCCTGGTATTTTAATTACTCACAAGCAAAAGTGTTGTTTTTATATTCAAACCCTGCAGTATTATTAGTATTATTTATTTGTTTGTTTGTAAATTTAGATTGGCATTATTTTGTTTTATCAAATCTTTCATTTAATTGTGTATTAGATTTCTGTTAGGTTATATTTTATATATTCTGCATAGCTGTATTGGCTATTAGAGCAAGAAAGATTAATTACTACTACTTGGGTTTTTTTTATATATACTTCTCATTAAATCTCAATGTTGTTGCTCTCAATGCTTTTCATGAAAACACTGCACTAGACTGTTGTATGAGGTGTTAACACCAATACTTGTCAGGTGAGAGACAGAAAGCAGTTTGTTTTAACTGAGTCTTTTAACACACACAGTTCCTCTGTGTCATCCTCTAAATTTAGAAAAGCAAATTTGAAAGTTATATTACAATTAGCACAAGATGAAAGGGATCTATAAATACTGTTATTCCAAAGAATCTAACAATAATTTTATTAGGGGCTGTCTGGAGCTCACTCTTGTTAGATCTCCACTTCTCTGTAGATGGCATGGGGCACGTCCGTTCATTCAGAGTGGTGAACTGTCCAGTTGCGCAGCCCTCTCCTGGGTGAAATCAAGACATAAACATCATTCACTTAGCTGTGGAGACGGACACACCGAGCCACTGAGTAATAAACGTTATTCTTTAGGGAAACATTGAGAGTTATTCTTAGGAAGGTGTTGTTTATATGTGCCTGCACCAGTGTTAATAGTGTAAGTGATGATCTGCACACCTGCTAGAGGGAAACCTCTTTCTTGTGTTTATAAAGGCTGTAATTTGCAAGACTGTGCTATAGTCAGGCTTTCTGTCTGTTTGCTGAAAACATACATCTAGAAATGTAGCTAGAGGATATTATATCTTTGTAATGCTATGGCCTAAATGTCTGTCCATATTAAATGCATTTGATTTTCCTAATAAGGAGCTGCAGGACAAGGAGCTACAACTATGGTTTCTTCCATCACAGATTAATATGTTGACTGTAATTTATTAAGCTTTTAATAATCTTATAATTGAATTCATAACCTTCAAAATAAAGACAATACTCAGTTCCCACAAATCCAAAACCCAACGATATTCAATTTAGAATTATATAAAACAGAGAAAAACAGCAAATCCTAACATCTTAGAAGTTGATTACCAGTGACATGCTGCATCATTACATACATATCATGTACTGTGTCCTGTTTGTGTTGCATTTGTGTGAGCAGCCGTGTGAGCGTGTGATGCTCAGTGGGAACAGTCGGGCTGGCTTTTCTCAATGTGTCTCCCTGCCAGGTCCTGTTCCGTTCCAGTACTCAGGAAACCTGTGCTCCAGCCGAGTAGGCCTGGCAGACACAACACAGGAGAGGCACTGAAACAGAGAGAATGAGAGAGAGAGAGAGACCTATAGATAGACAATTTGGGGGTGGGGGGCATAATATTATATAAAGAACCAGAGAAGAGAAAGGAGTATTTCATAAATGACAGGAGAAGAGACAGAAAGATGAGAGTACCAGGAATGTAAAGAAGGGGTGACTGAGTGTGTTGACAAAAGAGGAGAGGGCAAGAGACAAAAGAGGGGACAAGGGAGGGGAGGGAGCAGACAGGGGAGAGTGGTTTAGGCATGGGGGTGAAATCAGGGGATTTGCAGGTGCAGCCTGAATAACCACTGACCTTAATGGTACATTATGTCCAGCTGTTTCTTATCCAGATTTTCTCCTAACACCTTCAGCTGCACAAAAGACTGCATGTAGCATCTTGGTTCCCACAATGGGGAGCGAGTAAAGCAGTGCAGGCAGAGGGGATGGAGATAAAAAAGCATAGCAACTGTGTGAGAGGGATTGGCAGAGACGGAGTGATGGCAGAGGACATGCTTGATCCTCAAGTACAAAAATGGGAGTGACTCTGAGACTCCATCCAGAGAGCGAAGATAAGACATAGATAAAACAGGAAAAGTGGTAATGGAGAGTTGGTGACTCTATCTCTCAGGCTTTGCCAATATTAGTAGAGTGAAGGCTCCAGATAAGAATGTGTCATACTAAAGAACTACAGTTTATAGGGATCAAGATTTGGATAGTCAGTAATTGTGTAATACCTCAAGCGTGTGAAGCAAGAGCTGGAGAGGCAGAGAAAACCAGACAGAAGGAGAGCGAGATTGTGCATGTACTGTCAAAATGCTGCGATAACAATAGAGCTTGGACTCAAAAACAGGAACCCTCTGTTTCCTGAGTTGGAGACCATAGCTGTGTGTTATGTTG